TAAGGTTTTCGCTTTATTTTTACATTTTTCGATCACAGCGCGATGTTTTCGTCGTGCTGTGATGACGTCAAATGCGCGCTTTCGTCGAGCGCGCTTTTGTCCTCCGCGGTTTTGTGGTGGAACCACTCCTCCCACGCCTTCTCTTCGGAAACTATATAGGGGATTTACCTATAAAAATTTAAGCACCTCTAGACTAGACCACATTATATTATCTAGATATTTTTGGCAAGGGAAGTTCATGAGGTGATCTTTCAAAGTTTCTTTTGGTGTTCAAAGTCAGCCTATTTGAACGCCAAGAAATTCAAATAATTAATATCACATACAGGAACTTCTTAAGATCATGGTAATTATTTGTTTCCCACTACAAATCCTTTGAGGATTGAAAGTGCTTAGTCAAGGAAAACTTTATCTATATTGGAAGGTACAAAAAAGGAATTAAATCTTTTTTTCTCCTGCTTAAAGCAATAATTGAAACATACATCTCACAAGAAAAACTAGCTTTCAATATTTTTTCAACCTGTGGAGGAAGGATGCTTACGTTTGCACTCCCAAAAAGCTCAACAGTGCTTTATCTGGTTGTTTGTTCAAACGCAGAACGCATTCCCAGTAAACATCTTCCTCTCTTTCATTGTCCAAGGCATACAGCATAAACAGAGGAGGGTAAAGTCGTGGGAGCAGCACAGGAAGTAATAAGCCAGAGCTTGTCACCACATAGCTTAAACACGTAAAAAGCAGGAGACAAAACATTTGAGATGTTATTTTGAGGAACTAGTGTTCTATGAACATTGGCATAATTGATTTGATTCAGACCAACTAATCTTTTCTTAATCAAGAAAACATGTTGAAGAAGAAAAAGGGAATGAATTTCACTTTCTCCTCCCTACTGTATTTTCCCATTTATAATAGCAATAGCAATAGCAGTTAGACTTATATACCGCTTCATAGGGCTTTCAGCCCTCTCTAAGTGGTTTACAGAGTCAGCCTATCGCCCCCACAGTCTGGATCCTCATTTCACCCACCTCGGAAGGATGGAAGGCTTCCAGTACTGCACCCTAACCAGTGTGCCACCTCGGCTCTAAGACATCCCAATGTATAGGACGCCTCCCCCCCTTTTCTTACCCAAAATTTAGAAATCAGGCTGGGGGTGGGGGGCGGCGCAAAGTGCCAGTAGAGCATCCGAGGGTTGGGGACGGTGCTGAAGCGAGTGGGCATCCTGCCTGCAGGTGCCCATGCTGGCTGCCCCTTCCCGGCCAGAACTGGAATGCTGCTGCGTTGGCATGGGCACTGCAGTCAGGACGCGAGGAGAAATGTGACAGAGAAACACGACGGAGATGGAAATCAGGTAGGCAAAGAAATGCTTGGGGGAAGCAAGGGTTTCTGGGCAGTGGTGGGTGGGGCAAGCTCTGTGGCGCTTTCTGCAATGGAGAAACGGGCAATGGGGCAGCTGATGAAAGGGAAGAAGGCCGCTTTCCCTTTTTCTTCTCCCTGTTCCTCCTTCCCTTGTGCCGACTGCTCCATTTCCCGTTTCTCTATTGCAGAGCAGTGCCCGGGATCCACATTGATAGTGTGTGTGTGTGTGTGTTTGTGTGTTGGTATTTAACAACTGGTTCGTTCAGCATGTGCGGTGGAGCTGGAGGACGGGGATAGGCCACACCTTCTCCTTTTGGCCCTCGTGTATAAGACGCCCCTCCATTTTTAGGGATATTTTTTTTAAAGTATCATCTTATACACGGAAAAATACGGTACTTTGGTTGAAATTCTCTTTCAGCCAAAGAACAATTACTCCTTAAGTCCTTTTTCTCAGTTATTCCTGAAAAGTTTGAATATTAGCATACACTGCAAGACATTCCAGCACAGAAATTCTTTATCATTTAAACTATACAGAACAAGCCAGAAATATAATTTTTTCTATGCACAGAGGGCATGATGTGTGCTATTAACCAGTGGCGTAGCAAAGAGCTTCTCTGGCAGAAATGAAGCTTATACTTCTGTGGTTAATACTCCTGCCTTAAAGCAGTGTAAGAAAGAGTAACAAGAGGCAAATCAATCTCAGTCTATTCATTAGTTAGGTAGCCTGGCATGTCATCGGAAAGGGTAAAATATTGGAAAAAATCTACTGAATCAGAACTTTTTGAAATTGAACCCACTCAAACATAAACATTAAATAGCTGAAATTCACAACATCAAATCTATAACAATGTTTTGTCTTTATGAATTTTTATTTAGCTTTTTGTTTTAATTAAATGGAGGATTTAAAAAAAAGTATAGTATGCTAAATGACATCACCTATATTCCAATAAAAAAGAAAAGAAAATGAAGCTTGAAGCCTCTTTTGATCGGATTTAATGCTAGCTCTAGATTTATTTCCTTAAAGACCTTAGCGCTTTCTTCTGATCAAATTACCCTGGCTCTGGAGAGTCTGGTTCCGAGTCCTTTTTCCCAGTACAGAAAGACCTGGCTTCTTTCGTCTCAGTCATCAGGGAGGGAATTACACTGCCTTCTCCAGGAAGATCAGGGAACAGGAATCTTGGAAACCAACATAAAGGCGTTACCGTCAAAATGCGTAGTCTAATAATTGAAAAGCATCGATACATTTTGAAAGAAGATTTTCTTCATCTACTCTTTCTGCAAAAGGAATCCACAATTCCAAAGTTGCCTGGTAAGCAGCTTCTTACCTGATCAACTGGAAGATGCGCTTCAAATAGGATTTAATCTCCTTCACCGCCTCCTTCAAAAGCCGCCGATTGGCTCCTACTCCCACATACGTCATGCGGTATACAGCTACCAGAGTTTCCACAAGTTTCCCCAAAGGGTGCAGAGGAGTATCACATGCCTAAAAAGATGGAGATGAAAAAACCAGAAAGCTACACAAAAGAAGCAGAACTGAAGGGCTCAAATATAAGATATTTTAAACAATGCATGTATAAATAAATTAAAACTCTAAAAAGTATCACTTGTGTATCTCACCCAAATAGGTCCTAAGTTCAGGATTCATATTTGTGCAGTGTTACCCAAAAATTCGTATGAAATGCTTGCGGACAGAGTTAGGGAAGAAACAGTTTTCTTAGAAAATTATTTAACCCAAATTCACGTTTTTACTAAGCATATGGTTCTCAAACTTGCTGTTTTGTTTGTAGCCTGTCTAAGAGATGGGACGTTAATACCTTTTTTTTGTAGTCACTAGAATTCTTCTGGCTGGAATGGCTGATAAATGGTGCCCTTAACGTGGATGCTGATGATGATGTACAAACTCAAAACTCTAAAATCCCAAGAAAATTCCAAATCCCATCCACTTTATATTGTCATCTAACAAGAGCCGAGGTGGCGCAGTGGTTAGGGTGCAGCACTGCGGGCCACTTCAGCTGACTGTTATCTGCAGTTCAGCGGTTCTAATCTCACCGGGTCAAGGTTGACTCAGCCTTCCATCCTTCCGAGGTGGGTGAAATGAGGAGCCAGACGGTGGGGGCGATAGGCTGACTCTGTAAACCGCTTAGAGAGGGCTGAAAGCCCTATGAAGCGGTATGTAAGTCTAACTGCTATTGCTATTGCTACTGAATTGCCACCTACCCCATATCCGTCCCTGTGCAACCAAGCTTCTTTTCCAAGGAAGCCCAAATAATCATGGGAACTTTTTCTATGTATTTGTTCATTAGAAAAGTATATTATAAACAGCATTATAGATAGCAGCCCTTATTTTACTCTGCTCAAGGAATTAGTGAACAGCAGCAAGCTGTAAATGCAGATTATATAGATATTGGCTTGCATATACCTTTATGAGGTATTTCTTAATGTTGTCATATTTTTCCAACGAGAAGGCACCGACATGTTGTGGAATGAACTCCAAGCTTTCCAGGGTTTGTGCGTGTGATCTGCTCAAGAGTTCTGGACTGCAAGAATAGATGGCTATAGTTAGAATCTATACAGAAAAGGATTTGGGAACCAATAAACACAACAATTTTTCAACTGGTAAAATCTATTAAAAACTGTTTTTCACAACAAATGATTTTTTTCCTCTCCAGAAATTAACTATGAACTTTAAAGCTAAAAATATTGGGGGGGGGGGGGGGGAACGGACCAGAAACACATCAGCATAATCAATTATTAATGTTAAATATTTTGGTTCTACTGTCTTGCAATTTCACAGCATGAATGAGATTTGTCACGTTCAATCCAGTTTCACATCTTCAAATGGATGATTATTTTTAAAATTGTATAATTACTGGTTTTAAGTGCACAAATATTTCTTTATTTTATCACTGGCAAGATTTTTTTTTATCCAAAACTCTTTAATAGGTAAGTAATTATGAATAGAAAACAACAAATACTGTATTTTTGGAGTATAAGACGCATCTTTTCCCCCCCAAAAAGAGGCTGAAAATCTGGGTGCGTCTTATACACTGAATACAGCATTTTTGGCCTCCCAAAGCCTTGCCCACTTCACCAAAATGGCCGTGCATAGCCTCTAGGAACCTTTTGGAGAGCTCCTGGGGGCTGGGGAAGGCAGAAATGAGCAAAAAAATGGCCAGTTTTTTGCTCAATTTTAACCCTCCCCCCACAGCCTCCAGGAGCACTCTATAAAGCTTCCTAAATGCTATCTATGCCCCCCTTTTTTTATGAAAAACGGGCCCATTTTTGTGAAAAATGGACCATTTTTTGCTCATTTTTGCTCCCCCATTCCCCCAGGAACACTCTGCAAGCTATTTATTCCTTGGGGGGGGGGGAATGGGCCCGTTTTTGCAAAAAACGGGCCGTTTTTGGGAGGTTTGCAGAGTGCAAAAACTTTTTTTAAAAGTTTTCCTCTTCAAACCCTTGCTGTGTCTTATATTCCGGTGGGTCTTATACTCCGAAAAATACGGTGTGTGAAAAATAGCTCCACTATAGAGCATCTCACTAATGTATTTACTCTGTCAATACCAAAATAATTTAGAATGAGCCAGACTGAAGAATTTTGTATTAAAGATTAAAAAAGGGATTAAGAAACACTTTTCATGTTACCTATCCATAAATACAAATTGCTTATATTCCGGGTATTTGCAGATTAACTTCCCTTTTAACAAGAAAATAAATGGCAACTGAACTTTACATTAGAAATATCTGATTGAACAAAATGCATCTACCCCACTTACTAACCTTTCTTTGTGTTGCCTTCGATTGGTTGTCAGGGCAACAGCAATGTTATCCCATGCTTTCCACCTGTCCCCTTGACCTGGCTGTTCACAGCCGAGATGGTGCCAGCAGTCCTCGAACACCGCCCTCCACTTCTCGTCTGCTGGGACCGCAAGGTTTCCTAACTTTCGCCTACATTTGACAACATTTAACAAACAGTAACTACAGGTTCAACCAAATAAAATGAGAGCCCCCTTCTGAAAAGTTCCTCCACAAAGCAGACTTTTTGATATCGTGAACAAAAGTAACTCTCAATCTACACTAAAAAACCTTTAAAGAGCCGAGGTGGCGCAGTGGTTAAATGCAGCACTGCAGGCTACTTCAGCTGACTGCAGTTCTGCAGTTCGGCTGTTCAAATCTCACCGGCTCAGGGTCGACTCAGCCTTCCATCCTTCCGAGGTGGGTGAAATGAGGACCCAGACAGTGGGGGCGATATGCTGACTTTGTAAACCGCTTAGAGAGGGCTGAAAGCCCTATGAAGCGGTATATAAGTCTAACTGCTATTGCTACTGCTATTGCTATCTTTGCCAAAATTAGGCTGGGAGGAGGGAGGTTTTTAAAAGCACATTGATTATATATGTATAGTTTTCTGTTATACATTTTTTTTTACTAAAAAGGAGGAGAAGACAGGTTAAAATGAAATATGTATATTGAAAAGGAATTATAAATGCCATTAACATAAATGGAGCTCGCTCAGAAGCTGAAATACACCAAATAAATAAGATGAAGAGTGTGAAGTAGAGGAGAGAGGTAAGGGAAGAAGGGAGTGATAGGAGAGAGGGTAAGGGGGGGGGAGAGGAGAGAAACGAGGAGTGGTAAGGGGAGGGAGGAGAAGGAGAGAAGAAGAGGAAGTTGAGAAGGGAAGGTTGACAGAGGGAAGAAAGGAGGGTAGGGAGGGGGAGGAGAGAGGGAGAAGAAAGTGATGGATAAAGCAGTGTTTCTCAACCTTGGCCACTTGAAGATGTCCGGACTTCAACTCCCAGAATTCCCCAGCCAGCATTTGCTGGCTGGGGAATTCTGGGACTTGAAGTCCGGACATCTTCAAGTGGCCAAGGTTGAGAAACACTGGGATAAAGTACAAACATGGTGTATGGAGAGCAGACGGGCCAATAATTGGTTTTTGGGAGTTGTTGGTAAGACGAATTGATGTAAACATCTAATAATACAATACGATGTTGGTTATGTAATAGTATACATGTGATTTATATGTTATGAAAATGGAAAAAAATAAAAGCTTTATTTAAAAAAAATGTACTGCCTGCATGATTGCTTATTTTGATTGACATGATTTGCATCCTGAAAAAGAAGATGCAGTAAATAAATATTTTTGCTTCTTAAACAATTCCATGAGCAATTGTTAATACAGCAAATACAGGTAGTCCTTGACTTACAACATCAATATAGCCAAACATTTCTGCTTCTAAGCAAGACAATTGTTAAGTGAGTTTTGCTCCATTTTTACAACATTCCTTGCCACAGTTGCTAAGTGAATCCCTGTGATTGTTAGATTAATAACACAGGCGATAAGTGAATCTGTCCTTCCCATTGATTTTGGTTGTCAGAAGGTTGAAAAAAGAGATTACACAACTCCAGGACACTGCAACGATCATAAGGATGAGAGACCGCCTACTGCCAATNGAACTGAACTTCCGGTCAGCCCCAGAATTGAACAGGGGGCTTCCGGTTAGGACCTTTGTGGCTCCTGGTGTTTTCTTTTCTGTAGGAAACGGGTCCAAATGGCTCTTTTGAGTGTTTAAGTTTGCCGACCCCTGCAATAGGCAATTGAAGTTTCTCATGAGCTTTAATCAAGATTCCGCTGCTTTAAGGTATTCTCCTAAAACATTTCTAGCTTTTGTAAAAGTCTGAAAAATTGAGCTTCTCTACCAAGTAGAGAAGAATTGCTATGCTTACAGAGTCCAACCCCCTGCTTCCAAATAATGTTTACGCCTGCCCAGGCCTACTAATCCTAATTTGACAGTACTTTTTAAAAAAATATTATTTGTGAACAGCAGGTTCCCACCCCACACTCCCCCGGCTTAGTCTATTATACCTACCCATCCTCCATGCCATTTCTGAACATGCCAGAATACATCTTTCCATCTGCCCACTTCAAGACTCCTCTGAAATATATGGAATATTAGAATTATATTGGTTCTATATTGAAATTATCACAATACAGGTTATGCAGAATTTTCATAACTTCCAAAAGAACTGGGATATGCCAGATTAACTTTTAATTCTCAAGAGTTATGACAATGTAGGCTAAGGGGCTTTCAATACATATTACTGCGTCTATTCCAGCTCTATTTTCATATAGCTTTTTACATCAACCGCTTGTGATCTGCTGTAAACATTTAGGTAAATGACTTCTCATGCAATCTGGAAAAATTTCAGTTTCACCTTCCGTGTGGCTTCCCAGAAAGCCATCGACCATTGTAAGTAGCATCCTTAAGGCGAGTATCTTTGTAGAAGGTATATCTTGCATTCCTTGAAATAGGGGGCTCCTGCCTCTGAAGGCTTCCACTAGCACCATAGGGAGGGAAATCAGATGTCCCTTTTAAGGCCTGATCTATAGCTTGGCTTATAGATTTCAGCCACTTAGTCTGAAACAGAGTGAAAAATGGTCAAAGGCTTTCTGATGCTTACATTCCTCTTACTTCTCTCATTTGACATTTCTTACAGGAATTCCTTGGAACTGGTGTGACACATCTACTGACGTCATGGAATTCATACATTAATAACAATGGTGCATTGTAGAATACAGTATAAAACATTCCAGTACTTTTACTCCTTTTTAAAAAATCAGAATTGAATTTTAACATTACAATGTAACATAGGTCCACTATACAGTGGTGTCACAGACATTTCTTCCTGAATAAATTAGTTAAAAGTATAACAATTAACAAATTGTAATGTAATTTGTGAAGCTCTTGGCCTCAGTCCAGCTATGAGTTGTGGGTTATCATTTTAAAATAAATGCTGAAAGATACGCAAGATATGGTTATTTAACGTTAGCAGTTTTGAAAGTACATAGGTTCACACCACTAAAAATGTCAATCTTCAATAATATGCTTGTTGAAAAAAATTAAAGGTTAAAATAGTTATGTTTAATATGCAACAAGCTTAACACAGTAGTTTAGTCCAGTGTTTCTCAACCTTGGCAACTTGAAGATGTCNGATTGTTGGGGGCAATATGCTGACTCTGTAAACCGCTTAGAGAGGGCTGAAAGCTCTATGAAGCGGTATATAAGTCTAACTGCTATTGCTATTGTGCTATTAAACGCATTTGCACAGAAAGAATGAATGAATCGACATATCCTTTTTTGCACCAGTCAAAACAGTCTTCCTCGCTTCAACCCCTTCTTCCCCAATCCCAGCTTTTGAGGCTTGACTAGTTCTATGGTACTAATGAAAGTGTTTAAGCTCTTTCTATATGCAACTTGTATTAAGAACCATAATAATTTAATTCCCCATTTGAAGATGAGTAGTCATATTTCAAAAAAAACAAGAAGTTTTCATGAATCAATTTCAACAGTTTCTATTATTACTGAAAATCTGCCAACTATAATGTAAGTGGGCTTCTTAAATATTTCAAATAATCATCTGACTCAAAAGTACTTCAGATAGCTGCATATTTTTTTTAAATTTAATTGAATTAACCTTCGTGCAAATTCATTTCCCCCCTGAATCCTGCACAAAGAAAAGACAGCAGCCTTGATTCTGCTGGTGTTGCAACCCAAACTGAGGCTGTAGGAGTAGAAGCCTCTGCAGAATCACTGGATAGGCAGCCTGACATCCACAAAGGGATTCTCTAAATAAAGAAAGATCCCAGGCTGGTAAATTGCAATAACTACCAAGTACCATATCAGATGCTAATCAGTGCAATTTCTCCAGCATTGGGCCCTACTTGATATCATCACGGCACAGTTACGGGAGATTTTCTATTGGAATTTAAAGCTTTCAAATGCCTTTAAGGAGACATTTCAGTTAGGGGCCTTTCAGGAAACAATCTTGGAAATTTTAAGCACATTGGAAATTTGAGTAATAGATCATATACAGCAGGGTTGTCAAACTCACAGCTTGTGGGTCGGATGGGTCACATGCTGCCGCCCCCCCCCCCCGGTTTAGCGAAGGGGGGGGAAGTCCCGATACGTAATGTGATGCCGCCATGGCACCGCACGTTTGACACCCCTGATATAGGGCTAATAAAAGTCTCCTTCAGTCCTATTCATGACCTGTTTTCAATAGTCATATTAGATGCAGATACTTGTCCCAAATTGTCCACCTCATTCTCTGGTCCAATCAACTAAACTAGCTTGATGGGGAACACCACTTGGCTTCCTAGTTAATGCCAGTGTTACAACAGTTAATTACCTACAATGATAGAACCATCTGATGAGAAGCTAGCTCCCATCCACTCACAGTGTTTTAGGCCGATCTTTCTCGTGATCATATAAAGTGGGCTTGAAGTAGGTCCCTGTAATCTTTATTCCAGATCCCCATTCACCACTGAAAGTGCCTTCAATAGTGTCTCCATTTGGCAAAGTCAGCGTTCCCTGAGAAGAAAAAGGGGAAAGAGGAAAAAATATGTAACACACTTCTTTTTAATAAGCTGTTCTGCTGAAGGAAAGCAGGTGTTTCAAATTACCTTTCCATTGAGGGTCCAATTATCTGAAAATTCTCCTTCGTATACCGTGTCATCTTCAGACAGCAAAACCCCAGTCCCCTGCGGAGAATATAGTACGGCAATCAGTGCAAGTCATGTTTGGAATGATTCTCATATTATCTTTTTTTATTTTATTTTATTTTATTTTAAATAAATTTTTATTTCTCATATATACATTCACAATTATATGATCTCATAACATACAAATAATAATATGTATTTGTA